TGTGTGAGAGTGTGTATCTGTGTGTGTCCTGTGATGGACTGGCGTCCTTTCCAGGTTGTACCCTGCCACATAACCATTGCTTGCTGGGATAGACTCCTGCTTCCCTGCTACCGAGTACTGGATAAAAAGGTCAGAAAATGGAAGGGAAAAAAGCCCTCTGATAAAAACACTGAGCAAACTCTGTTGGTGCCATGTGAAACAGGTGAGTGTGACCCTGTTCTGCAGAAACAAAGAGGCTGATCTTCTTAAAGGAAAAAGGACGGTCCTGTCGTTACTGGACCTGCTACCTAAACCCCAGCTGTCCAGCTCCTCCTCCTTGTGCTTGCCTGTCCACTCTGTGTGCCCCCCAGGGGCTTAACCGTTCACAAGCCCAGGAGGTCGTCACCAACAAAGGGATGACCTTTACTCCCTTCTCACAAGTACAAGCCTCTCGTTGCTCCCTTCATTACCCACATGCCTTTGTTCTGCTTGGCTCCTCTGTGCACTTGTGCCCCTGGGCTCAAACAGGGGAAGAATTGAAAGATCTGAAAGGACACGAAGCAGAGGCGGCCTCTCGGCCAGTGTAGCTCACTTGGTTGCTCATTCTGGAATTAAAGGCGCGAAATCTAACAGGTGCGCAATGATGTTCTATCATGACCTTATTTGATCCTGGGTTAGTACTGGGCCCCCAGAAGAGACTCCTTGCTCTGAACGCCGTGCGCCTGTATCGTAGATTTTTAGCGATGCTTTATGTTGTTTTGATCAACTGATCTTTCACGATACCCCTGAGGGACTGACTCCTGCAGGGGTTGTATGTCAGGCCGAGAAAGAACAGCTCACAGTTCAGTTCGGTTCAGTTTATTTGTCAGACTCACACATGCAATGAAATGCTTACCTGCATGTGGGCTGCAATAATAATAATAATAATTGCTTACACTTATATAGCGCTCTTCTGGACACTCCACTCAAAGAGCTTTACAGGTAATGGGTCTCCCCTCCACCACCAGTGTGCAGCCCCACCTGGATGATGCTCCAGTCTGCTCACACACACCAGCTCTCAGTGGGGAGGAGAGCAGAGTGATGAAGCCAGTTGAGAGAGGAGGGTTATTAGGAGGCCATGACTGGCCATGATTGACACCTCTTCGCGAGAAAGAAAGGCACTGCAGAGAATGGTCAATATGGCCCAGAAGATTAAACA